GAAGCAGGTATCATTTGAGTCACAGCTAGGAGAAGCCTGTGGACTTGAAGCCATGAGCAGAGACTCTGGCTCTGGAGAAATGGAGGGACTTTGACAAAGGAAGACAGGCAGGGACGATATTGTAGAAGCAGAGGGAGAACCAAAATGAGTGTTCTGAGGAGAGATAAACAGGGGACAGTTTGAGAAGCATAAATGTCCAAATTAGTGAACACTTAGTGTAAATAGACCAGGACAGAAGTAGGATTTCAGGTTTGGCAATATTATTTGGTCCTTCCTAAAACTCAAATTTAACTGAGTGTCTAGTATTTCAGCTGGTACCTCACAGAAGCCCCTTGGGCTCTAATCTCAAAGTATTTACTTTAATGGCATTTTGAGATGAGTGTACCTTAGTGTGATCACATTGGCGTTTTGAAAATATTTTTCTGGTATTCTAGTATGATTGGACTGGACTAAGAATGGGAGGAAAAAGAAGCAGTGGCAGGTATGTTCTGTGCTCAGGGCACATTACTAAAATGCGCTTCTTCCTCTAGAGGTCATCATTACAAGCTACATGTTTCAGAGATCATGGGCTGGGTTTCTGTTTTCAAGTTCTTGTGGGTCACAGATGCCACAAAGCCTTGAAAGATGACCCTGGGCAGATAGGTCTATTTAAACAAGGGAAAGTTACCAACGGTCATAGCAGAATAAATGAAAAAAAGAGACTGTAAGAATATTAGGTGTTGGAGACCACTATGAAGCAGCTCTGAGCAAGATTTAAAATTAACTAACTGGCTTTCTATGTTTATCTGTGAGTCTGTCCCAGGTCTAGGCCCTTGCCTAGTGATGGGAGCTGATTCATAGTTAAGTGAACCTCTACAATCACTCATGCTGCCTGAGGAGTCCTGAGGTGGCCTGTGATACCAGTGATACCTCAAAAGGCAAGATGAGGCCACAGCTGGAGGACACCTTGGCTCCAACACTAATTATGTAAATAGAGACTGCAGCGGCACGCATCTCACTCCTGCAGTCTCATTCCTACCATAAATGTCATCATAGAGACAAGACGGTTCTTCTAAATTGGCATAACTGACTACTTGGAGAAGTCTTTGAAGTGACCCCAAGGTCCTGCTCATTCCCTTCCCACCCCATGCTTTCCTCAGTTTCCCCACTCTTTGTTTGGAGAAGTGATAAATATGGGCAGTCTAGAGAAGCTTTTAGTCTTAGCCCCCAGAGTCTTATACTCTGCCAAGGGGTTTTGACCCTCCTGGTGCCCTAAAATCATACCACTTGTCTCATTTATTTAAGATTTTGCTGTATACTCGTTTGGGAGATTGGAGATCTAGGTCAGAACCCAATAACTAAGCACATTTTAGAGAAAATATGGTAAAGATTCAGATACCTGAGAACTATAGTTCCTCAAGGCTTCTCTCAGAGACTCTGTGTATTGAAAGTGAATTTGACCGCAGTACCCAGACATTATTTACTCTTGTCACTGTGTCAACATTTGAACTGACAGAGCAGGTGCAGTGAATGGTTGGTAAAGCTGCCATTGCCTCAGAAAGATTGAAAGAAGCAACACTAAACACGGGATCATCACTGCATTTTTCCTACCAGCACTCACAGTGAAATGGAAACACAGTAACTATTACTAATTTTATTAAAGTGTAGTTCATGAATGTGTGTCTTTTTAGCATTCTGGATTATGAATTGAGAAATGCACAAAAAGTGCTCTGCATACCAAAACAGAAAGGCTGTCCTAAGAAAAAGAAGTCAGGCAATGGGGCTGTGAGTTGAACTAGGCACTTCTAAAAATGGAACACCATTTTTACTCAAGAGAAAAATTGAAAACCTATTGATTATCCAGATTTTAGTGTTTGGCAAACATTTTCTTAAGGCTAAGCAAAGCTAGCCTAGTACTTAAAGTAAAACAGTTAATGATGTTGGTTATCAGTTGTATGATTTGAGCTTTTAGGACAAAACTAGAATTTTAGCAAATTATCTACATCATTTATGAACCTGACCTTACTCAAAATTTTCTGATAAGTAATTAGTGGTGGTGTTAATTAATGTGTTCTTGATGTTGTCTAATGAATTATGAAAACGTTTGAGAGATCTGTATAACTCAGTAAATCTGTATTTTCTGAATGACAAGTACAGTGGGTAAAAGATCTATCTGTTCAAAGTACAAAATAGATTAGTGGATTTTAACCTAACATAATAGAAAAAAAATCGATGCCCTTTCAGATTTCACATTGCAACTAATCTTTGAGAAGCTATTGTTTTTTGAATTTGAATGTGGGTCAATATCTCAGATTATCTAACTCAAATTAGTAGTCCTGTTTCCAATACAAAATTATCCAGAAAGACTCAAAACACTAGTCATTTAAAAAAAAAAAAGCTAGTTATTTTTCAATCGCGTTTGATAAAGTCAAACTTTTCTCTATATTTCAAATAAAACCTATTACACAAGACTGTATAGACAGGATCCAGTTGCCTAAATGTGAAACTATTGGAAGAAAAAACAGGGAAATAGTTCAAGACATTGGTATAGGCAATGATTTCTTCAGTGACTCTGCAGAGCATAGGAAATAAAATAGCCAAAATAATACCAAACTACAAAGCTTCTAAATGCCAAAGAAAATAATCAACAGAGAAAAATGACAACTTAGAGAATGATAAAACATCTTGCAAACTATTCATCTGACAAAGGTTCAATAATCATAATATATAAAAAAACCTTAACAACAAAACCAATAAAAACCCTTGAATTATGATTTAAAAACAAGCAAATGATATGAATAGATACCTTGAAAAAGAATCGAAAGGTCAAAAAATTTATAAATTAAAAAATGCTCAATTTCATTAGCCCTCAGTGAAATACAAATCAAAACCACAATGAGTTATTACCCTATCCCAGGTTGAATGGGTACCATAAAAAAGATAAAAAACAAATGATGGCAAAGATTGACTTTGTATATTTCTGGTGGGAACATACACTGGTATAACATTTATGGAGAAAGAAATGTGGTATGTATGCACAACAGAATCTTATTCAGTCATGACGAAGAATCAAATCATGCTATTTTCAGGACAATGGATGAAACTAGAGACCATTATGAGATGTAAAATGTCAGGCACAGAAAGACAAATTCTGCACATTTCCCCTTTCTTATATGTGAATATTAAAACAAGCCAATCTGGATTACAATATTGATTACTAGAGACTGGGGAAGGGAGGGGGAGATAGGATGAAGGGGGGATGGATAAGGGGTAGATAGAAGTAATAATTTCTTGTGTTCTACACGATAGTGGAGGCCTTAGTTCACAATAGTCTATTATACTTTTTTAATGAATAACTACATGGCTGGAGCTTGAAGGCTATAAACACAAGGTAATTACAAAGAGATGGAAATGTTAATTGCCCCGATTTGATTAGATTATGCTTTACTTCCAGGAATTGAGTAGAATTCCATTTGGAAGGCTGCATAAAGCAGAGTGGAAAGAGTCCTTAAAAAGCCTTGACCAGTATGTTGGGAGTACCATTGTTCTCAAGTTAACAAAAAAAGGACGGGAACACTTCTGAATTGCATATTATTTTATATAAATGTGTACAGAAATATCCCACCTCCCAGAGATGAGATGTGGATGCAAGAGCACAGCATTTTGGGAATGACTTAAATGTGGTGAATGGTCTCCATTCACTTCCGTATGCCACGGAGCTAGCTCTTGTATTTGTCTCACAGCGCAAGAGCAGCAGAGTCAACTTGGGGACTCTGAAAATCATGTTCAGGAAGCGTTAGAGACTGACTACCTTTTTTAGTCTGGCTCCGGGGCTACAACTGTGGCCTCAGTCCTTCCTGTGGGTCTCTGCTGCTCCACTGAGTACTGAGGCCAGGACAAGAGGCTCTGCTGGGAGGACACAGTCAAAATAATTTAACTACTCATTCAGATGGCATTGCTTCCTTAAAGATACTGAAGCCTCAAATGCTTGCAGACTGAAGCTTTTAAGAAGGGAAAGAGGTGAGCAAATTATTAATATTAATAATTTATGTCTTTCAAATGATCTTTTGAAGTGTGCATATAATTTGTGAACATTAACTGAGAAACCATCCTTTCTGGGATGAATTGTGTGATAATTACAATGATTGTGAAGCACTTCTCTGAGTCTTCTCTTGAGGTAGATCATTACAGGTAAAAGAGCAAAATCAGATGAAACGAGGTAGCTGTGCCCTGAACCAGTCAGGAAGGCAAGTGGGATTTACCCTTGGGTTCTCATTAAGTAGCGTGACATCTAAATGCTTAGCTTGGCACCTTCCACTTTGTAAGGACTCAACTGCTAAGTGGATCTGAAATAGCTCCCATAAATCAGTGTGTGTGACAGTGGCATATAACATGCTAGACGGAGTAGATAATCACGTCTGTGCGGTGACTTAACAAGGCAGGCAATGTCTCTTCTCCTGAAAGCGGCCGACGAAAGTACTGTAGTACCTAAAATTTCGCTGTGGTTGATTTTGATTTTGGCCATTGTATTATGCCCTAATTTCTAATCAGCACTCATGTTCCCAAATTCAAGCATCAATTCCCCTCCCCTTGAATTTATTAAAGCAATAATAGAGTAGTGTGAATTAGTCTAACAGTTCTTCCTTCTATGATGTAAAGGTTTGTCATGCAAAGCCAAAAGAACTTGGCAAGGGAGAGGATGTTCCTTGAAAGGGAAAAAGGATTGCTTTTTATGGTCAGGTCATCTATATTGCATAGTTCTGCCTTTCTTTCTTCACTATCATCCAGCTACAGATCAGTCAGCTGGAATAGCCTCCATCCCTATAATTTTGCTTCCCAGGGAAACAGCACAATTATAATTTGCACTGGAAGTTGGCAAGGTGAAGACTAAGTTTAACTGTATCTGTAAGTACCTACTAAACCGACACTCTCTTTTCCTCATTTTCTCTCATTTTTATTTACTTCCTCTGACCTTCCTATGCCATGCTAATGTTTTACAAAGTGTGGAAGGATTTATTTACCCAAGGACACTCTGGCAGGAACAGCTCTCCGGTCAATCCAGAATGAAACCCATGAAAGCATCACCATCAACATAGCTGGAAAGTAGGTTTGCAGCACAAAGAAGAAGATATGCCTCCGTAGCACAAAGTTGATGAAAAGCCTACAGTACCAACCTATGAGAAAGAACCAAAGTTTTCATTAGGATAGGCTTCTTCTTGTGGAAGCGTAGAAACAGTACTCTTAGAGAAGGAACTCACTTCTTTAGCCATTGAACTCTTAAGGGATTTGGAACTTGACATTCTCAACTCTGTTTATCTGGCCTTAGGTGGGATCTGGGCCTGGTCCTCTACCACTGTTGGCTCAACCATCCTGATTAATGATTTATTCAAAGATCCATCTTTAATGTCCATACCTGTAGTTTGAGGTTCAGGAACGAATGGTAATTATACTGTGTGGGTAGTCTTTAAAGACTTTTCTCCAAGATAGATTGGTTGTTGCACTTTTTCTGCAAGAAGGAAAGACTTCAAACAAGACCATGACTACTAAAGAAAAGGTCTGTAGAAGGCACTATTAAGTTACTGGATTTTAACCTGGGATTCAAAGAGGAGGAGTCTCATGTCTCATGCACACATTTCTAGTAGATGTTACATTGCTTTATTCCATGATAACTGAAATGCCAGTCTAATTAAATTTGTTATAATAAGGCCATGGATAGTAAAGTGGATAGAAATTATAACATATTTATGAATATTTTTAATGATTAGTTTTTCTGAAGAGCATTTTATTTTGAAATGAAATTATTTAAAATGCATAGATTATACACTAAAATTTAAAAAACAAAATCATAGGTATTGCAAATTTATAAAATTTCTCTGATAGTTTTGTAGTAATTTCTTAAGAAACCCAACAAGGCAAAACTACTGGATGGATAAGGTAAATATTCATGCATTTTGGATTGAGACATACACTGACCCAAACTTAACTTTCAGCCTCTGTTCCTAATCTCCAACAAGTGACCATGTTTGCCTTTTCTTCTTTTGAAGAGCAAGGCGTTCACTCTATCAGTTGATATATATGCCTCAAGATATATTTGCTTCAAAAATACAGCAGATACATACCCTAAAATTAAAGTTTATATTACTTTTTAGCTACTCATCATATTGTATTTGCCACTCACTTTATTACTGTGTGCAATTAAGTATTTTGATTATGGTTGTGGCATATGATAGGAACATATCTGCCTTTATAGCTTCACATAATTATGTGGTTAAAAAAACAAGAATACCTATAAAAATAATTCATAAAGATACTATGCAAGCCATCCCTTTGTATTTATAGAGAATTTGTCCCAAGACCCTCTAAGAGATCAAAATCTATGAAACCTCAGGCTTCCCATATGAAACGGTATATTTGCATATAATTATGCACATATTCATGTACGTTTAAAATCCTCTCCATATTATTTAGAATACTCAATACAATGTAAATTTGATATATAATTATTAAGCCATATTATTTAGGGAATAAAACGAAAGATATTCCATCTTTTAAGAATAATTTCTATTCAGTTTGCTTTTTCTCTCCTTCCCTCTCTGTCTCTGTCTCTGTCTGTCTGTTTGTCTCTCTCTCTGCAGTGTTGTGGAGCAAACTCAGACCTCACACTTACTAGGCAGTGTTGGGAGCTCGACCGAGTGATATGAGGCCTGTGGTGAGGAGTGAAGCCTGAGCTAGATTGCCCCTCCCGTCGACCGAGTGATATGAGGCCTGTGGTGAGGAGTGAAGCCTGAGCTAGATTACCCCTCCCATCGAGTATGCCAAGATGGCGCCCATTTCCTGCTCCCTAGCTAGTAAACAACACGCCCTGTAAGCTAGTCTGCCCAGCAACAGCTGACGCTGGCCAATCAGCTCGTCTTGCCTACTTTGATGTGATTGGTCGATGTGTCCATATATATGCTGACACCACCCCTGGGGCGAGAACACACACCAAGAAGAGGGACTGCTGAGAGAAGCACACAAGGAGCCGTAGGGAACGGACCAGAGGAGGCTTCCCTCAGGCGGGATCCGAGATCCCGGAACAGGGCGTACGGAGAGAGAAAATAAATCAGAGGCTATCCGCCGACTACTCGTGTCGTGTGTTTTTTCCTGCCGGCCGGGATCGACACCGACAAGGCAGGTGCTCTACCACTGAGCTACATCTTCAGCCCTGTCTCTTTTCTTTCCTCTTAATTTTCCAGAGAAAAATGAACTCTTTTTTGAGGTGAAGAGGGGTAGTCAGGAAGAAGAAATGCTGCTGTCTTGTAACTCTTCCAGGGCGGAAAGTCTGGGGATGAGACTGTAGGGGGAGTCACTTTGCCAGGAGTCACTTTGCCAGAAGTCACTTTGCCTGCCAGGAGAAATAGTGCTATCTTGGAAAGATATGGAACCCTCATTGTGGGAAGTGTTAGAATTTCAAACTCCAGTTTGATGATTTTGTTTGCTGAAAGCTCTCAAGTTCTAATTTTGCTGCTTCTTCTCCATATCTGGTCAAGCCAAAAAATCAATCAAAAAACAAAACAAACAAACAACTCCCCCAAAAACCTCCTGAATGTGTCCTCTTCTGTCACCTGTGAGAACCATGCAAGTCCTGCCTGCCCAAAAAAGGAACCCCTATTTAGCTCCACTCCCAAATGGTCACAAAACCCCAAACCAGCCATGACTTTTTGTTCTCTTAAGCCATTTCAGACCTGGTTAGGAGGCTGTGCTTTTTCTCTCAGGAAAGCCCATTCTGTGAGTGAAAGATCTCTTGGTAGCCTGTTATTATATGTAGGGCATCACTAATTTCGACATGTGAACCAACTTTTGGGTGTGCGTAGGGTCCATCTCCCTTCATTCGGCTGCCATAGGGTAGAAAGAATGGGAATCGTTGACAGAGCTAGGAGTGTTGGGGTGCATCTGTAATCCAGCACATGGAAGGTTGAGGCAGAAGGACTGCAGAGTTCAAGGCCAGCCTGAACTACATAGTGAGATGTTGTTTAAAAAAACAAGACAAAAGAAAGAAAAAAATTATGACTATTAAAAAATAAAAATAAAGGAGAGAAAAGGGCTGGAGGAATTATATCCAGGAGAATGGAGAAGAGAGTAATATTTGGAGAATCAGTGCAAAGACAGGATTCAAGGTTTTCACATGTGCAAAACCTCTAACGGCCTTTTCACACACACTTTTTAAAAGAGTCAAGATGACAATGTTGATGAACATGGTGATGATGACAGAGATTAATTTTTATGATAACAAATATCCTTAACATTTGTCAAGCATTTTAAGTATTATAAGTTGTTTAATTATATTAACTCAAGTATTCTTACAGCTCTATAAGGTGGAGAATATAATGAAACATTTAAAGATAAAGCAGTTGAGGATAGAGAGATTGAGTGACTTGTCTAAGATCTGCTGTTAATAAATGATAGGACAAGGTTTGGATTCTGGCAATTTCCTCCCAAGACTTACATCTTTAGCTGACACATTATGCTGTGATACAAAGTAATTATTCAATATGTCCCTCAGGGGCAAGAGTGATTTCTTTTTCCTTTGTGAGTCTATAGCATGTGACTCTGAGGAGCTTTGAGAAGGATGAAGATAGAAGACCTTCGCTACTTGCTGATGTCACTAGCTACGTATAGGTTTTGGCAATGGTATTATTGAAGGCAATGTCAAGAAGGAAAGTTCAGCTGTAAAGTGGAAGCTAATTACATTTCTTGCTCTTAAAACTACATCCAGATAGATACATACATTTTCTGTATAGATGATTTGAGAATGCTGGTTATGGTTGGTGGTTATAATAATAGGAATGAAGAAAAAATATAAAATCCTTTTTGAGTCAACAAATACATCTTAACTGGATTAACATCTGAGAAAGACAGTTGAATTGGATTCTCAGAAGACCATGTTTGAAAATCCATGGATAATGTGAAGCAGAGTTATACAGCTGTGAGCTGAAAGAAGTTTCTAAATGTGATCTTTCCAAAATCTTGGGGATAGTTAAATAAATCTACAGATGATCATTTGTTTGATACGTATAAATATAACTTCCAAAATGCCTTACTCTGACATTTTTTCCTATTCTTGTAATCCTTCTCATTAAAAATGTATACATTTTAACAAATTTAAAAACACAAAGTGTGAAGTAAAATTGGAGATCTCTCTAATCTATACATACTCATTTCTCAGAGGTTTCTTTTGATGTTGCTAGACTTTTCAAACAAATACACACACACAAGCACACACACTCAATACAAATACACACCTAAATGTATAAACATCTTCTTCAATAACAAATATAAGATTGTATTCTGTAAGTTACTTTTTAAACAAAAATTGTTATGAACACCCGGGATTTAGGTCAGTGGCTTTAAGTGCCTGCATGGCAAGTGCGAGGTTGTGAGTTCAATCCCTGGTACAAACAAAAAAAAAAAAAAAATTGTAATGAATAACCTTTTATCTCATACTATATAGACCTGTACATTTGACCTAATTCTATTCTGTTTCACTGAGGAACCAAATTTGATTCCTTGAAAATGTAATTACACTTCAATGTTAAGGATTTATAATTCATTTTAAAATCCTTAAAAATATCTTTGGAGCAATAATAATTTCAATGTTAAGTATTTGGTCCTACTTTTTATAGATTCTAAATATGATGAGAGAAAAATCAGTGTTGAGACTGTCCAATGGGGTTTAGGAAATTTAAAAGGGTTCTAAATATTTCCAAGATAGCACTACTTCTGATAGGCAAAGAACAAATGAAGAGACTTTGGCAGTGATAGGATGACTTAGGAATGAAGTTCGAATTTGGAAGTGAAATCGCACCTCTTCGTTTAAAGAAAATGGATGGACATATCTTCATGGATACTTGGGCTTCAAAAATCTGAAGAAATATCATTGTTATATTATATGTTTATACAATCTGTGCAGGAAATAATACTTTTGGATTTCTATGCTTCCTATATATCATTTCACATAACCATTAAACATTACAAAGTTCTATTCACAATTTATCATCTCTTAGTTATTTTATTATAGAAGAAATAGTAACAAAATAATATAATAATATAAAAATTACAAATCATACTTCATATGTATAATTGTTCATTGTATATATTACTTTATATATTGATTTAATTTAATGTAGGACTAAGAATATTAAAAATCCTGATAATATATATATATATATATATATATATATATATACTTGTTTATATATAAAAAAGAAAAGGGAGAAGAGAAAAAATATGTTAATGGAGTTATTCAATGAAATAGGATTGATAAAGCCCTTTTTCTTTGTACTTTTCTAAGTTCAAATTGTCTACCATTTATTCTTTTATTCAAGACACCCTTAAACAATTTCAATGAGCCAAGAATATACCAGTGATCAAAACACGTGTGTCTTACTTGTATGCCCAAAAGGCAACAAACATGATTAACATAAATAACATCATTTGCTAAATCTTAAGCAATTAGACCAATACTGGGATGAAATAGAATGTTTCTTCTGGATCTTAATTGTCTATGAGTTATTGGTTCTAGAAATTCAATTAGCTACTCTGAGATGTAAATCTGGTTTCACTTTTAAAGATGCAAGCTTTTAGAAAATTCTGTAATTCCTCTCAGAGATCTGCAAACAGTGGGAGACCTCTGAGAAGCACAATCAAAACTGAGTCTGTCAAAGGATTTAGTCGGGACAGCTCTGAACCTCAGGACTTCTGTGAGCACAAATCCTGGCCTGTGCATGATTCACTGAGTCATAAATTGCATTTTATCTGTCATAAAAGATGCCTAATACTAGTAACTAGCATGATGATGGGATTGATGGTGGTGGATGGGGAGTGGTGGAGGGAATGAGCCTGAAGGGGCTTCTAATCTTAATTAGCAGGAATCAAATACAACTTTTAAAAGTGTCTTAGATAAATGCTGCAAAATAAAATAGCTATCTTAATACTCAGTTTTGAATGAATTTCCTATTGACACAATAATGTTTTTTATTGATTCATTTGGTTGATTTTATTTATTTAGCATCTATCTCGCATCAGTTGTGTCAGGCACTTGGGAGCTGGGGGAAAAATGGTCAGTAAGGTGGGAAGATTCCCTAATTTCTTTATAAGTAAAAACTTAGACAGTAAAGTATTCTAATGCTTCAGATTCTGAGTGATCACAAGTGCTTGAAGACAAATCAAAATGGGTTAATGGTGAAGGAGGAGGTTTATTTTAGGCAAGAGAAAGCCCAGAGTGAAGAGGTACTTGGGACAAACTTGTGAATGAAGGCAGGAGCTGGTTATGAGCAGATGATTAGGGGAAGCATTCCAGGCACAGGGGAGAGAGGCCACAGTACAGGTCTGTAGTGAGGTGAGATGTGTGTGTTGGAGGACAAGTAAGAAGGCCAGAGGGGAGACTGCGATGGAGGGTGGGGACTATGCGTAGAGTTCAGAGCTGTAAGCAGGAGGTAGATCATGTTAAGAAGCTTGAATTGGGTTAGGAGTACAACTGCAAAAAGTTGAAGAACTTTAAGCAGGAAAAAACTATGACCTTTATGATTCAAAAGACCACTCTGTGTGCTGTACTGAGAGTAACTGGAAGAGCCAAGGAGGGAAACAAGGTATCCAGTTAGACATTCCCAGGATATTGGAAGGTGTAATGCATTGAAATGTGGAAGCAGCTGTCTGCAAAACGAGAGGAACGATGTTATTAGTGAAATGGGTCTCTTTTTTGGATTCAGGTCCATTCATACGTTGTGGTAGTTTGCAAACAGAAGGGGGTATGTAAGTACTAAAGAATCATTCACATAAAATGCTGTACCTGTGCTGCTATAGAAAGCTAATCCACTGGATGCACTGAACTCCTCAATGAAGAACTGAGAAAGGGAAATGTGCTCTTCAGTATTTAAGGATTTGTTCCCACGTTTCCAGTATAGCATTAGATCATCCTCATTGTAAGCATCTAAAACAAGACAGTAGAATCCCTGTAATTGCAATGAACTCTTCTAAATTCTATGAGGTGTTTAACCAATACATTTCTCCAGTTCCTAGTCCAATGGCACATACTTATTTGGTACCAAAAGGTTTTGCCAAAAGACTGATCATACCCATACTTTCAGAAAGGGAAAAAAATTGTTAAAAACTAGACCCTTAGGACTGATATTGTGGTGAGGCTTTTCTTACTCCTTATATGTTGTGCTAAAACTTTCCAAATAGTGGCTCCGCTGTCTGAATGTGGTATCACTCAGCATCAAGCCAGACCTCAGAGTGGTGCCACAGCATTGTTTAACAGTCCCAGGGCTGACTTAGATCCTTAGGTTCTTTCAGTCTGTACCTCTGTTGGATGAAATTACACAATGAGGCCAGTTCACAATGAATTTTCTTCCAAAATTGAAGTTGCTAATGAAATTATAGAGGAACATCTGCAGAGAGATCAATGCCAGCCCTTTGTCCAAGTTGAAAAAAAAAAAAACTAAAAAAGTGAGCAGGGATATAATAGCTCAATAGCACAGCACCCGCCTGGCAGCACGAGGTCATGAGTTCAATTCCTGGCACAAAAAAAAATTCAGCCAGCTTTTAAGACAGCTAATAAAAAATCACTGATGGGTCAAAGAAAGCTGGCTCAGATGTTCTTGCTTATGGGGCTTATACCTAGCTGGGTTTTTCTAGTGAACCAATACACAGTTAATAGAGATTGTGACTCATCTGAGCTATCCAAATGTGGAAAGTCTGGGTCAGATTTACATAGTAACATTAGAAGTATACATCTTTTTAGGAGCTGTGCCCTCATAACATTGTGCAAACTGCAGAATATGTTCTTATTAAAGCTTCCTGCCTCCTAAACCTTATTTGAGAGAAAACTAGCCTTGTCCTTATTTAAAAAAAAAAAAAGCAAAACAACAAAACAAAACACAGATGTTTGGTAAAATATATCAAGATTCTTAAATATATTCAAGATGCTTGCTAAGAGCATGTTTGTTTCTTGGCAAATATGTGATGATGTGCTTAGATGATGTATACTCACTCCATCAAGCAGTAAGACTTACAGCTTTCCAGTTCAAGAGAACAGTTTTGAGTGTCAAGAGGAAACCTGCTGAAATCCATAAAGCACATGGCTGAAACTGTTACCCTATAAAAAGAATGAGAAGAAGAAAATTGCAGACCATTTAACCATATGGCCTAATTAGCAACATCGAGGCTTCTTTACTGTTTGTCTGTGTGTGTGCCTTTCAAGAATAATGTAAAACAGGTGTTACTGTCTTCTGTCCAAAAAATATACAGTAGGAGGAAACAAAGCAAGCAGCCTGGTGACTCGCTTAAGACACAGGTTAATGAGTGAATTCCAGCTCCCATTATTGCTTTTGACCTCACCATTTTGTGGTTGGTCCCATCTGTATTTTCTAACTTCAGTGTACATTTCAAACTGACATGATTTTAAATAGACTGAAACACTTCCTGCTTTTGGGAAGACCCAAACATTAATAGCCTCTAACAACAAAGGTTTGTGATTTTGGTAAATACATCTATCAGTAAGAGTTTCCTTCATAAAGCGACTGTACTGAAAAAAAATAGTCTTTTCAGTAGTGAGGAAAAAGCCCAGGGTGCATTAATCATGGATCTATGTGCAAAAATGCATAATTCAGGTGGTGCTTTTAAGTCAAAAGGTTTATTTCTGATGAGGTTTTTTTTTTCATATTTTATAGTCTAGATTTTCCTGGCTTCAGGCAGAGTCTGTTGTACTATGATCTTGCCTCAGAGTGGAAACTTTGGTATCACAATAGCAGATCAGAGGTTCATAAAGATCCCCCAAGCAAGTCTGTAAAACCAAAGGAAACAGATGCTCCTGTACATAGTGCCCTGAGTTAATCAGAAAAGTAGAATCATTTTAACTTCTGTTGGCTGAGTTCTACTGTCAATAATTGCACACCAAAGTGCCAAGCCTGGAAAGTATGTGACTTTGTGTAAACAAAGCACTTCAAAGGTAGCATATTACTAGTGTGTAAAAGCTGGAAAGGACCTCTGAGGTCATTTAGTTCACCTTTTTCATATTACACATGAAAAAAAACTAACAACTGTATTAGTGAGCTTTCCTGTCTCTGGGACACTGCACCTGACTTAAAGGAGGTGAAGTTTAATTGGGCTCCATGAAGAAATATCCTGGTACAAATACATAATGGAGCAAAGAAGCTTAGTTCATGGCAACTGAGAAGGAGAGAATGGAGACAGTGCCAGAGAGGAAGGAACCATGGATCATATATAGCACCCAAGGTCATACCTCCGTGACCCATCTGGATCATACTCAGAAGTGAGCTTTATTAATCTCCTAGGCAACTCCCAAGCCAATCAGGTTGACAACTAAGCTTAATGGTCACAAGGATTTAGGGGGTTAGGTGGTAAGGTGGTATCTGAACCAAGCATGGAACCAGGTAATTGATTCTGGGCTTAAATGTGCATGTTCTTGGATGCCAGTAAAGAGTTATGCCAGTAACAGTTTGAGTTCTCCTAAATTCTGGAAACTCCAGGATCACTTTCAGGTTCCATGACTCCCTAGGAAGTCTCATAGAACTCATCAAAGCTGTTGTGTTCATGATTACCTTTTTTATAATGTACAAGTTAAAATTCAAAATGGGGATAAAAACACAGGTCAATGAGAGACCAGGAACAAGTTTCCCAGTGTCCTTTTCTGTGGAGTTAAAGTGTTCCATTCTCTTAGTGACAACATGCCTAAAGTACTGTGAATCAAGGAAAGCTTGCTACACAAATTTTAACTGAAAGTAGACTGTATAGTCATGGTTAATCACCCATGTGGCTGACATTAGCCTCCAGCTCCTTCCAAAGGTCAAGCTAAAACCACGTGGCTCAAACTAGCACCATGAACCACACTGTGAGCATAGATCACCTGGCATCCTCAATGGATTCTAGGAAAGCAAAAGCTGTTACACAGTAGATTAGGTCAAACAACTAGAGCTTCTCCCTCAAGACCCTGGCAAGGGACAAATCTTTCTTCTTAGGAAATGAAAGGCAAGAAAAACCTACCAAGTTTACCCTTACCATTCATCCTTTCACCAAACAAAATTTAAAACAGTTGATTCCTGGAAAGATATTGCTATTCTGGCTTCAATTCCTAGTGAACTGATTCCCGTACTTATGAGTTGTATGATACCTCTGATTTTAAAGTCTGATTGAGAACTGTACTTTTCATTACTGTATTTATAAAAACATTGACAGCCTTTATGGAATGGTGGCAACAGCTCCTTTGTCCCTTTTTTTTTTTTTTTTAAATTCTGGGGGATTGAAGCCATGGCCTTCACATTGAGCTGCATTTCAAGTCATTTAAAATGTTTAAAAAATTTTTGAGACAAGGGTCAGGGGTTTAGCTCAGTGGTGCAAGTGCCTGCTTGGCAAATGCAAGGTCCTGAGTTTGATCCATGGCACACACACACACACACACACACACACACACAAAAAGGTTGAGACAGAATCTTACTACTTTATAGGATATCTTTAATGAGCAAAAATAATGTGTATCAGCTTTTTAAAAAAACTGCCAATATAACAACTTAACACAAAACTGGGGTTCAAAACAAGAGAAATTTACAGTTCTGGAGGCCAGAATTTAAAGTCATAATCATTGGGCCATAATTAAGGTGTCAGAAAGGCTCTGCTCCCTTAGGACTTATTGGGAGAACATCCATTCACCTTATAACTTCTATTAGTTGTTAGTATTCTTTGGTTTGTGGTCACATTTCCTGCAGCTCTTGTGTGTGTATAAACTTGGCCTCTGCCTTCCTATTATAGGATTCTTATGATTGAATGCAAGTCCCCTCAGATAGTTCAGGATAACCTCCTCATTTTGAGATGTTTCTTCACACCTGCAAGTATCCTTTTTGCCATATAAGTTAACTTTCACAAGTCTCATGGATAAAGATGTGGGTATCTTTTGGTATCTCACATTTTTTAGCCTACTATAGAATATTCCTGAGTTTTTTAGGTCATTTAAATAGATTGTTTGTATTTACCAAACAAGTTTAGAATATTTATTACAGGCCATTCAATATTCATCGGGTTCATCTGAATAAAAGAAAATATAGGACAAAAGAAGGACTGCTGTTTTGAATTAAAAATAGAGAAACAAAAATGGAAGTGAGAAAATTAGCACTAGCTTGGATAATGGCTATGATTTCTCCTGAAAAATAAAGGCGATAGCTAAGATAATTATAAAGCTAATACAAGATTCCCAGTAGGCTGCAGGGGTGGTGGTGATGGTGGTGAGAAGCAGGTTGGCACACCTGTAAACTTGTGTGCTACAATTTTAAGGAGTTTTTACAGTTCAGCCCCACTTTATTTGTTCAACCAGCATATACCAGAGTATAGTTAGGATGGAAGCTATTCTTTAAAATGTGGATGTTAGAACATCGCTGGCTTGTTTCCTGATCTTCAACACTATTACCGCACAGTGATATTGTGAGTTTAGTCTGAAGAGACCCAGCAGCTTTGGTACGAAAGCCGCAAGCCAAGGAAATCAAAGAGAGTAGAGAACTTTCCTCACCTGAGACTGAAGAGGACATTCCCATCAGGATGAACTCGCAGCATGATGTTTCCCATAGTCGTATCATGGATGAAGGATCTTTTAGAATGGACAAAAAAGATATCTGGAACCCAAATCTTTTCGATTAATCTATGATCAAAGGTCATGCTTTTGTTTGTCGTGCTAGGAAAGGACAGCCTTTCATCTTTCCAGTAATGCCTGAGATAAAAAGTCATTGTAAAATCCTGGGCAGAAAGAGAAAGATCAATCAAAACCAGCAGGAATAAGATTCAGAATCACTTTCTGGGACTGATTCCTACAGGTGTTAATAACTTGTAGGTGAATGATATATATTTTACTTTCAGGTAAATGTAATGTGAAGCTACTTAGCTCAAGTTTTGAATTTCCCTTCACATGGAATCCACTTAATACCAATAGTTTCTAGAAGTTATAGATTATTCAAATGGGAAACAGAGTAGTCAGGACAACATTTCTATGTAAGCTTTCTGGTATATCACCTGAAGAGATCTCAGAAGAGGACATAAAGCTCCAATATTTGCCTCTTAATTTACATGATTTCTTTTCTTAACCTAGATAAACATTCACTTTTAGAATTGTTTTCATTCATAATTTTGCATTATTTTTATTAAAGTATCTCACCTAAATTGAATAAACTACAGTCTCCCCCAAATTTATTATAATTAATGGGAAGCAAGAGGTCCTAAATAGATGGTGATCTTTTTCTGTTTGAGAAAGTGAGGAAGAAAAGACCCATGAAAGATGATTATCAAAGTTTAGTTTGCCAAAAAAAGTCACCTGTGACTTTTGTTGAAATGGTACATTTCCTAGAAGCTGTTCCCAGAGATTTTGATTCAGTAAAACTCAATAATTTGAATTTTCCTATGAATCTCAGTTATAAGGATATCAAATTGAGATGAAGAACCATATTAGCACTATTTTAGCTAAAAATTTAGTCAATTTTGGTTTTGATTGGATTTCAAATATTATAGTTAACATTTTAGTTATTTGAATAGAAAATCTGCTAACTTGATCCAAATCACTGGGTGTGGGAAGAGACAGTGTGTTTTACTTTTCACAGTTGTTTACATCTTACTATCTTTTAGCTCCCCCACAAATCCATCTTTTCTTGAAACAATCTGTATAATAAAACTTTGGCATTCATTATACAAACAAAGGATATGTTTCAGTAAAGTACAAATACGTCACCAATTAATTGCAAGCTCGCTTGTTTTTCCTGGGTTCAGAATTGAAGTACATTGTATTATTGCTCTGGATTAGTCTGGGAGTATTAGCCATGTGTAATTTTGACCTAGAGTAAGGGCACATAAATAGAATGATTCATTCATTAAGCATAACACTATCCTACAGGGAACTGTGTGGGTTACTGCAGGATTGCATTAATAAGCATATCTTTACAGTGAGTTGCTCAGTCTGATCTGAAGTTCACTGAACAAACACTGAGCTTTTGAAGTCAAATTGCCAAACATGGTGCATGTCAGTGATACATCACTGTCACTGTTGGCTGGCCTTATCATGATGCAGGCAGAACAGCATGCTGGGAGAAGAAAGACAAAATTTAAAGACCCTGAAAATGAATTCAGAGTGAGAAAAGAAGGGATATGAAGAAATTTAAAATTTAACCCTGAGAATAGGGTGAATGTCATTGATAATTAGAAAGCATTTTCAAATTGGACATATTTAATACAATTTTATCTAGTATGAGGCAGCAAAGTTAACCTTATTGGAGAATAAAGATGATGTCCAATTTTAGGGTCTGCAGAAATAGACTGAGAATTTTAGATACTGATTGGGTAATTCAGAGATAACTTAGATACTATGCAAAATAGGGGAAACAAATGCTTGTTTCTGCAATGTGACAAGAGTGGGGACTGAGGAAGAACTGTCTTTGAGTAAGGAAGGGCCGAAGCCTTCTGAACAGACACTTTTAGAAATGAATTAAATTGGCACTATTTCCTTTGGGAGAGTGGTGGCAAAATGAAGAAAATGTTAACTGATCACCAAATTGAACTGGAGTAAATATCAGATTAGATAATGGTAAAAGTTAGAACAACTACCAACAGAAGAGTTCACAGTTAGAAACAAGGTATAATGATTCACAGATGCTTTTTAGACTTTTTATGCGTCTTGAAATTTTCATCCAGTTAGTTTTTTTTGAAGAATTACTATAAATAAAAATATTAGGTATACAGATGAAAAGATTTGATTTTAGCAATTTGTATTTTTTAGGACCTGATTCTTTAAGAGATCCCTGCTTAGCTTTCTTTCTCCCTCTCCCTATCTTTTATGCTTTTATCGTTTGTGGTATTTGCTTACAAAAATAATATATTGAATCTAAATTTCCAGACTGCATTCTATGATAATAACCATATGCTATGGCTTGTGTTTCAAAAAGTTTTATTTTTAAAAAGTATCTATAAAAAAGTATCTAAAGCAACTTTTGAAAACTTCCTAAGAACATACATGCAACAGATTGCAGAAAAGGAAATGAAGTGCAAGAATTTATTGATGTAAAAGTGTCCATTAAATAAGTAGATTGGGCAAATAAAAAATCTCTTTGGATGGAAAATGGAATTTTAAAAACAAAAGTTTAACTTCTCTATTCATAGAAGAGTTGGTTTTACTGAAAGACATGATTTCCTTAGAAGACACGATTTCCCATGGATGTGGAATTTAAAAAGGTTGAGTTTGTAGAAGTTGAGAGTATAATGGAAGTTATAGAGGCTACTGAGGGCAGTTGGGGAGGTGAAATGGGAAATTCTTGTATAATAAGTTATAGTTAGGATCAAGAAATTCTGGTAAGCTATTGCAAAACTAGGTGGTCTTAGATAACGTTAATAAACTACATATTTCAAAAAGCTAGAAGAAAGAATTTTGAAAGTCACCATGAAGAAATGATAAATGCTTAGTAGGTGTTTATTCTGATTTAGTTCTCTTGATTATACAATGTATATATGTATTGAAGCACCACACATACACTGCAAATATATACAAGTTTTATGTATCATTTAAATAATTACAAATCCCAAACAACCAAAACCAAGCATAAATCCAGCCTTCCATGTTTAAAACAGAAAAGAAAGGAGAATTGCAAAGGACCCTGAGAATCAGGTTAGTGATTTCAGGCTGAGTCTAAGGAAAAACAAAGCCTGAATTCTAGGGCCAATGAGAGCAGGCAGGGCTTGTGCAAAGACATTCAAAATTACATAGTTTGAAACTTTGGGTGTGTCATTGAGGACCTAAAACTGAAATGCAAACCATGCTCAAAACATATCCATGAGGTGCACCTTACTTACGGTGCTCACAAAGTGCTGTCACTAACACTTGCATGTGATGGAAGCACAATGAAAAGGAATTATAAAATCAGCAGAACTAGAGAAAGCAAAATGAAATGGGAAGAGTGACTCAGCACATTCTTCATTTGGTGTAAAAAATAAATTAAGAGGTTAAGCAAAACTCTGAGACCCATTAACAAATTAGCAAGAGTGGGTAGAAAGAAATTACATATCTGAAAACAAGTATGCTACAGAGAATTTAGCCACAGAATTAACTATTCTTTCTTAGTGTAAAATTCTGAAAAACACTTAACATTCCTTAAATGCAAATTAGCTCTGATAATTATGTAGACAGAGAAGGTAGTTCTAAATTAGGAATAGAGAAAATGAAATGGAAAAAATGTGGCAAAGAGGATATTATAGCACAAAAATAAAATGATAAAACCAGGTTAAGGGAAAAAAGAAATTATAAGAAGCAGGCATGTTAAAATGCCACAGGAGAAGGAAATTGATCAAAAAGTAAAAGGATAAAAAGGTGGTTAGCATCAAGTTTTATGAGCATTGCTTGACTAGTAATATTTCTTAAAATACAGATATTTCACTGCAAGACAAAATAATGGCAGTTTCTTCTAGTGTCCCATAACATACAAAGAAATTCACAAAAATTTCTTAAAGTTTTAGTCTTATCAATTTAAAAAAATCTGCCTTTTACTATTGGTTCACAGATAAACAGAAATAATATTTGTAATATCTGGATGCTGTCTATGAAACTTGGTTCAATCTTCTGTCATTTTATAGGTAAGGATTTGAGGTTATGATTTTATATCATGGATGTGTTATGACCATCCTTATATATTATTTCTAGTTCAATTATATAGATACATTATATCATGATGTTCTATAGTGCCACTGAAAAGCCATTAAAGGTAAAAAATGGGAGTTAGAAAGATAATCATGGAGCTGGGGATTTAGCTCAGCGGCGTAAGCGTCTGCCTTGCAAGCAGGCAGTCGTGAGTTGGGGCCCTGGTACCGATAAAAACGAAAAAAGACAAAAAAAAAGAAAGATAATCATAATCAAATGCTGAATATCTGAGTAAGAGTAAAGCAAACACGATTCTACTATTAAGCAAAGTAGGAAAGAAATAACAAGTAGCTAAAACATTATTTAAAACACCAGTGATTTTGCCACTATTAAAGTCTACATTTTTGGGAAAAGTTCAGGAGCTCATGGAGAAACTTACCATGTCAACCTCTGAAATGCTGTCAACGCTTTCAACCTGGACATCTATGCCTACTGGCACTGGAGATCCTTTAGAAAGAAGAGCAGATAGTGGACTGAAAAATTCATTACAAGATTTTGGAAACATCCAGAACAGAGAATAACCATTGTGTGTAAATCATAAATGAAGTATTTTTTGAGTTTTTATAAACAACATCTTTCTCCATTACCTATTGAAACAGTTACTGTAATTCAATTATAATGACAAAGGCACATTTTCAAATAAATGCTAGTCTAATAACATTACTCATTTGTTTGGAAATATTTCAGTATTTTCATTCCATAAAATAGAAGTAGTGTCTACAGTTTTATTTCAACATTTTAAGAGTACTGGCTAACAAAGGAGAAGATTTAAAACACCTGAATATGTAGAACTCTGCATTTTATATGGTAATGGTCATAACTACAGTCAGGAAGTGTCAGATGAAATCCTTGACTCTGAGCTATGTTGAAACCTTTTCTCACCTGTCAAAAACCCAGCCTTTTTCATTTGCAAGGTGACTGGCAGAAGAGAGGCACACAGATGATAGTGCAGTGCTACACAGGGACACCACAGACCCAGCAGTATCCCTTCACAGATCATTAGCAACCACAGGCTGCCTTTGGGAAGAAGCACACATCCTCAGAAATGTGTTTGATGAAAATATACTAAAGTCATAATTGGAGCAATTTCATGCAGAGAATCTCTAAGACTTATTTGCACTTGAATTCGCCAGTATCAATCATGGGCCCAGGCAACCTGAATGATGACATAAGAGCATCCAGGCTACACTATAAACTTTCCTAGAGCCTATTAGCAAAAGATTTCAATACTTTCCGTGTGAAGGAAATCAATGTTAATAATGTCATCTGGTTTCATGTTTGAAATTTGACGCATGTAATTGATAATTGCTATAAACTGAATGCATGCAAACATAATTTCTATATTTATACAATACTCTTTTTTTTAATAATGTTATTCTTAAAAACCCTTAATGCTTATATAGTCTTGAGTTAAAAAAAATACTTTCAATTATTGATGAAAAATATAAATCATGTCTAGATAAATACTAGGTACTTATTTTAGTAAAGATTTTGGGATTTAGAGACATCAGGCTTAAAAGCTTCCTTAGTAGGCTAAATAATGCCAGGATGTGTCACATGAGCCACACAGGTGAGTATAATTCAATCGCCTTTTGCATGAAACGTGCCTTGCAGTCCCTGTTACTCTTCTGTGATGTCCTCAGTGGTTGTCTTATGTTACCTTTTCTTACCAACATAAAATTCCCTCTTGTGTTTCTCAATTCCAAAGCCTCAGCATCATTCCTTACTTAGAAAGCTCTCACCTAGCCAGGCACAGGTCCTATCCTTTGAGTATTCTCTGGCCTCCGCTTTCAGAAGTACCTGACTTGCATCTCAACCACAAACTTCTTACTGCCATATTGAATCCTACAACACTAATTTTATAAATAACAGTTTTTACTGATAATTATGATTAAGAATTAACTTGTAAATATTCAGTATTATTCCTTCACAGGGTTCTGCTTTGATTATTATTAAACTTTTTAGTTAGTAGAAGTATCAAAATAAAAATTTATAAAAACATATAAAATATGTTATTCATGGGTTTACCTGGTACTTCATGTGGAGTAAATCTTTCCTTAATTCTAATATTTAGAGAGATAAAAGATCTTGGAGGGATATTAGAATGTCCCGAATAAAATTTTAACATTAGAATCTCATAGAATAGACTTCAAACTTAGCTCCACCACCATTGTGTGATAGCGTAGATAACCATCTCTACGCTTAGTTTCTCCTTTGTAAAATCTGAGGGTTATTTTTTTTTTTTTTTTTTTTTTTTTAGAGATAGGGTCTCACTAATGTAGTTCAGGCTGACCCTGAGCTCACAGTGATCCTCCTGCCCCAGGTTCCTGAGATCTGGGATTGCAGGGGTATGCCACCACATCAGCTTAAAATCTGAGTATAATATTTTAGAAATTTACTTGAGGACTAGAAGTAATGCAGTTACTGCACTTAATTGGTGCTCAATAAATAGCACAAAATAAATATTATTACTGCTGTCATTAAGCAAAATTGTGAATTTCCTTCATGGAATACAGGCCACTATTCCTAATCCTACTCTCCAAATTTGAACATTAGTCTCTTTCTTCCTTAAAAAAATAATAAGTGCTTCTCAAAATTATTTTCTGAAAAATAAAAACACAAATAAAAAACCCAGAGAACAACTTGAATTTAGGATCTTGTGACTTTTCAGCCCTCTGTACTCATGAATTCAATCAACAAAAAATATCTGAAAAATTTTGCATGTATCAGACATGTACATTTTATTGCCGTCATTCCCTGAATAATACAATGATAGTATTTATGTTATCCTAGGTATTAGATGTAATCTAGAGATGACTTTAAGGGTGTCTCTATCCTTCTGAATTCTGGGAGAATTCTCATAGGTTATAGGAAGTATCGTGTCATTTGCGTGAGACCTACAAATTTGGCTATCTGCAGGGGTGGCTGTGCTGGTCCTGCAGCTTAATCCTTAGAACATGGAGAGGTAGCTGATGACTATTTCTGCAAGCCTGAGGACACATTTGTAAACATACCTTCCAGGACATAGCCCTGCCCCTGCTGGACAAACACTGGAGCCTCCTGTCGTCTGAAGGCTGGGTCTGACAGTGGAGTTAAGACATGGGTTTCCCATTATCAGCTGCTGAAATATCTTAGATTTCTTCTTTCCTCCCTCCAGATATATACTGTTCTTTCAGAGATGAACTCTTGCCTTTCTAAGGAAAGTATGTGCCCTCAGGTGCTGTCTGTCTTGATTTCTATCTCGTTTGAGCACCGTGTCCAAATGTATCTCATTTCCATGTCTAAAAATTTGTGTTCTGGCATTCTTGAGGGCAGAGTGCAGGGGGATGGGAATACAAAGGCAAGGCACAGAATGTGACAGAAATTCGGATCTGCATCAAGGGACCAAAGAGCATTCTTTTACAGATGAGAAGCTTGTTACAGACGGGAAGGAGAAATAAAGTAGATGGGTTAAAATCATGAAATTTGTAGCCATATAAACCTTGGTTACAGCTAAACTTCAGCGAATTGCTTAATTTCCTCATATCTCAGTTTGCTAATTAGTAATATAGAAGATATATATATGGTACCAACCTTACAGATATGTGAAGGAATCTATGTAAAGTCTAGAGTTTAAACCCATTCAGATGTCTTTTCAACTTTTTACTATGTATTCAATTAGTGATAAATTTAACAAAATATATAATAATAATTGTATACTTTTATTAATTCTATTTGTAAAATACAATAAAGTTAAATAAATATTAACTTTAATACTTAAGTATTAATTTTCTGGGATCACCAACTGGGTAGTAGCAACACATTTATAAAACTTTTTATATGCATAAAGATATAGCATCAATCTGTTTTTATGTGGGCTAGAAAAATGAGACTTAAGTAGCAGTTATACATCTTATTAGTACATTGAATTTCAAATACGTTATATTACGCCATCCTTACAGCCCTTTGTTGGCTTGGTAGAACTGAGGTTAGCATCGTTTGATGTATGAAGTTAAACTCAGAGAAGACTATGCAACCCTGGCCTGAAATGCAAAGCTAGGTAATGATAGGAATATAACCAGATCCTTCTGTCTGTCAGCTCTCTTGTTGACAAGCACAGACTGTGCAAGCAGCTTTTATAACTTTGGGGCTTTTGTCTTAACTCAGTAGCCAGTACCTAGATACTGAATTGATTTCATTTCAAAGAAACAAAGAAATGATCATCTGTAAGACACTAACAAAAAGCCCTTAGTCCTGGGAGACAGAATGGGCAGGGAAAACATAAATAAAAGAAAATGAGCTGCAATTTATAACCCAAGTTAAACAAAAACCTCCCCTAAATTTATATCCTCTTGTTTCTACATAATGAGTCAATTAATCTTGTAATGCTTTATAAAAGTAAAAAACATTGCAGAAGCAGCTGGTTTTAATGTTAAAGCTAATTAGGAAAGCACATTAAGGCAAGAGAAGCCCTGAAGTTACATTTGGCTCAAGAGGAAAGAAATATGCTCATGTGTTTGGGTTATGGACAAGTATAACAAAGGAGAAGATAAATTAAAGCTTGTCTTTTATATCATGCAGTCTAATTTCCCCACAGAAGCATCCATGATAGAACAGAGAAATGGGTCACTATATTAGAAGCCATTCGATCAAGAGAGGCGAGAGAAAGGTTAAAGTCTGTATTTCACAGCTACCAGACTGACACTTCTAACTGAACTTACGGATTTTTCTGCCTGAGATGACTGAACACACAAGCTATGAAAGTACCACTCAGTTCCACTTTAGGCTTATCAGAAAAATTTCTGAATTGTGAAATGATTTGCTACCTGTCAGAAATAGCAGATTTCAAGTGCATTTTAAGTAACCTCACAAAGGAGCAGCCTCAGAAAAAGTAATATTAAAAAAGTGTTACCACTTAAAAAGTTTTAACACGTATCTTTAACAGATCAAACAAAGTGGAAATTTAAGGTTAATTTTATGTCCCCCCAGGGTAGAGGGGATGATCCAGGGGATGGAGAACGAAGGTGTGAATATTTTAAGGTAAAAGAGAAGCAGTATGGCTCAGACAACAGTGTTGGTTCTCAGGTCACTGTCACTCCTGTGCGGATCATCTGGGCATCCTGTAACGATGCAGATTTCAGCTCCGAAGCCCTGCGCTGGGAACTGAGCTTCTGCATTTATCTTAAAACACTGCTGATTCTTAAAGCACTTTTAAGTCACCTGGCACCAGAGGTCTGTTTTTCTGAGGTCCACATTCAAGGTTATTTTTCTCTCATTCTTACTGGTTTTCAATGGCCTAAAACAAGGTCCACAGAACCCATTCTTTCTACAACAGAAAGTAATTTAATCAAGGACCCTGTCTTGATAGAGATTAGAACAGATTTTGGAACTGGTGTTGAAAAGAGTACATTATATTCGGCTTTCAGCTGCGATGCCTGAAACAGTTTCAGGCCATTCCCGTGCGAATGGCGCCACCTCATGTCAGGTAAGGACCATTGTCGAAGGAGTTTGTCTTGAAAATTATTGTTAAATGATGATACAGGAAAAGGTTTTACAAATTTTTATAGATCATAGAAACTAAGGTAGAGCATATTTAAATGATAGATATAAAGCATATGTAAAAGCTTTGGGATTTTTTGGGGGTAAGAAATAGTCTACTGAGACTAACAGCAATTTTAGTCTATTGAGACTAATAGGTAAGAGCCCAAGCAATTTTAGTATTGTGGTGGGGATGATGCATCTGAGGAACAGCAAAGTAGAGAGACAGAGATCTCACAAAGAAAAATACAAGAAAATTCTCAGCCCTGCCTATTTTCTACAACCTTGAAAGATTTGACAGTGTAAGAAGTGTTCTGGAAAACAACAAAAATAAACTCACTCAAATGTAATGTGATCCAGGTAATCCAGTGCAGTGTGGTTTTTCACATGTCTTTGTCAGACCACCAGCATCAGATCATCTGGAAACTTTATGCAAATGCCAGTTTTGGTCTCATTCAGATCTAACGGAACAGAAATGCTGGGCTAGGGCCCAGGGATTTGCATGGTAATCTTCCAGGTAATTCTGATGCTTGGAAAAATTCTAGTCATGCAATTAAGGTCAGGTCCTTAACACTGCAGCAGAGTAGTTTTTGGGATATTAAACGTACAAATCAAGATAACCAGCCCTCAGCAGTCACCTGACATATGTCTGTATTTTCCTGTTAACAAATTAGTTCTCTATGACATCCGTCTACCTGTTGTGCTTCTCTTGGTCAGAACCATAATATGACAAGAGTCTTTAAGCTTCCCTGTCCCATCCTGAATAGTTAACTTATAAAAAACTGCTAGTGTATCCTGCTTTTCACTCTCATCCATACCCCCTTCGTATCCACTTTGTGTGCTTTTAAAAAGTTGTCAGTTTGGGGCTGGGGATTTAGCTCAGCGGCATAAGCGCCTGCTTTGCAAGCAGGCAGTCGTGAGTTCGATCCCTGGTACCGATAAAAACGAAAAAGACCAAAAAAAAAAAAAAAAAAAAAAAAGTTGTCAGTTCACGGAGAGAGAGACTGTGGGCCAGTGAAGAAAGAATCAAGTAGATTCAAAGAGTTTAGCTACCAGGTGATTTCCTCACACCTGCATACTGCTAGAAAAGTTGGTGGCCTCAGTGATGCAAACATGTTGCAGACTTCAAAGAGGAGAAGGCTTTGATTCAGGCACCCACTTCTCCTTCCAGCTTCTTCAATCCTCTTGAAGGATTGTGTCTAGTTCCTGTGTCTAGTTCCATCACTTACTGTCATAGTTTCCAGTGAGTTTTTTAAACCTCTACACCTCAGCTTCAACTCTAGAATATTAAGGATCATGATAGCTCCTGTTTCACAGAGTCACTGTTAAGGTGGGATAGCACATTGGGCTACAGGTATTAACACTGTGCCTGTTTTACATTTTTACGAACTTTAGTTTCTAAAAGTTGGTTCACAGTGAGCCATAGGCTTTGACATACTATAATTCCTTCACAAAAGCTACGTACTCCAGCTCATAATAACATGCAAGGTTTTGTAAGAATCACCATGTAATTCAATCTACACTTCATGGTTGAGACAGCAAGTCAGTATATAAGCAGAATATATCTGCCCATTATTTATTGAGCACATTCTCATGTGTGCATGTGTGCATGCTAGAAAACAAGCTGTGGTGTCAATTTAAATGGGTAAAATTTCAACTGTTTTTTAAGATAAACATTTTTAAAAACTGATAATTTTACTTGTGTTTTGGATTTGTCTCAAAATTTCAACTCCATTTTGAGAGTGAGTTTTAAATGAGTCTTTATAAAGATAATACTTACCTCCAAATCCTGGTCTCAGTGAAAAGTCGTGGCCCTCAATATGGAGGAGCTGCTGATACTTCAGGGGCCACACTTTGGTACTGTCATCTCTCTCCATTCTAGTTTCTTGCTTGCTATACTCCCAAAGAAAAAAAGAATTCTTTAAGAGACTGGATGCTTTTATTCAGTTTAGACATTCATGCTCCATATAGCATATTCTAACATTATTTCATAAAGAGTCATTTCCTAAGTTCATATTAAACCAAAGAATGGTCAATTTATTCTTTAAAGGTGGAGTAGATAAAGTAAATGACATTTAACATCACTTTAAATGACAAAGTGAAAGTGACTTAAATGCACAACAGTCAACATTTCTCAGAGTATAGTTTATAGACTTAGGATACCTTAATTGCCTGTGTGGATGTGGTCAGAATCAGAGTTATCAGCCCATTTTTCAGATCAAGTCAATCAGAGCCTAGGAATCTGCACTGAAATGAAACACCTAACTTACTCTTGGGATCACTGAAGTTAAATAATCTCTGCAATAAACAGTGATAAAATTTAAAAACATTTCAGAAATTTACACTGATGAAAACAGTTTTCACAAGACAAAATAACTAGAAAATATGGGAACTGGCTGTGATTGAAAGCTAAACTAAACTAAACTAAACTAAACAAAACAACTAAACTAGAATTTAAGAGGTGGGAATGCTTTGACTAATGCAAGCCCAGCACTAGGTAGATAAGTTCTGTTTTACCTACAGTTCTTCAGGACAAAGGCAAAATGGAGAGTGACCTCTCTAAGTGTTCTGATTTGGAAACAAAGTCTTTCCTCCCTGTGGGTCTGTGAACTTTGGCAAGTCACTGCACCTTTTTGACTCATTTCCTGCTGGGAGGTGCCTGCTTCCCAGAGACATTGCAAGTACAGAGGCAGACAGCTAGAGCTCCTCTGAGAACACCTTGCAGTCATCTACTGGTGCAGGAGACCCTGCTCAGATCTCCTATCTAGAAATCATGCCTGGCACGATCACTCTCATCATGGTTAGCAGCAGCAGTAACACAAGTCTCTGAGGAGTCTACTAAGTGAGTTCTAGGGACTCTGATTGTATGACACACATTTTCATTAACAAATGTCTTCTCTAAAAAACAATGAATTTTAACAGAATTCCTATGGAAGGCAATTGCATAACCCAATAAAGTGACTTTTGGTGGAAGAATTTCAGATGCTGACGAGCTTGTAGAAGCAATACATCCAGGAATGTATCACCATGTATCATCTTTCAATAGGACACTTTATGGTTGAAACCTCAGTGGTTTACCAGTGATGTATTTCTTCCAGTGACAGAAATGAAGAAGCTAGAAGAGGAAATCTGTTTTGAATATAGGCAGTAAGTTTGATTTAAACTCTATTACACCCTATGAATAATTGAACACATAGGACTATTTCTTCCAAGGAGCTAGAATTAACTAGAAAAATTCTCCTAAGGAGCTAGAATGAGCTATTTTTTAAAAATAGTAGCAGCTAGATTTTATTAAATGCCTACTATGTTCAAGGCACTATGTCAGATGTTTTCTAAATATTATCTTCTTTGGCATGCATTCAGATCACCTGATTTCCCGGGCCCCATGCCCAGAGGTTCTGATTCAATTGGTTTAGGGTACAAGAATTTGCAATTATAACAGTTTCTCAGGAGAACCACTGCCCTAGAAAATTATAGACATTTAATAAAGCTAGCTACTTATTATTTTAAGAAAAATGCAAATGTAACTTTGCCTGGAAACTCATGAGAATTACTCCTTTGGTAATTGGTAATTGTGTGTGTGTGTTTAAGTACAACTAAATGACATGTCACTACTGTGTCACTTCAGAAGCACACCGCTTCTTCATGAGAGTGAAAAGAATAAATTTTAACTAAGAATCCCAAGCACACTGAATGCAAAGTCTGCCATGAAACACTCCCTTGGTACTTCAAAGCCCACACCTGTTCTTACTTAAGGGCTCTTCTGACACAGTAAGATGTTCCAGACTGTGTGCACTATTTTCTCCCAAAGAATTTGTTGCTTGTGTAGCTTCCTAAAGAATATTGGAAATCTATGTTCTCCCTCCCACATATTTAAGTAGACATATACAGTTTTTATTATAAATTTTAAAAGTACTTAAATATTGATGATGATTTAAAAGAAAACTTGTTTCTCTTTTAAATGTACCTGATGAATCTAAATATCTACCTGAACCATCTTAAAATATATGAACAAGTTCTTTAAAATATTGGAAATTTTATAAAATTTCTTACTTTTTGAACTCATATTTCCATTTTACTTTCTTGTAGAACTTTTCATCTCATCATACATCTTTTCAAGAAAAAATATATATACACTTATAAATTAACCTTTTAATTTTCTGTGGCCATTACAAATAGAGCAAAGCATAGCTTATATACATAGTGGCACTTATTAAAACTAAGAATAAAATTTTAGTGAAAATGAATACTATTGTGTGTGTGTGTGTGTGTGTGTGTGTGTGTGTGTGTTTCGTGGTTTTTTGAGACAGGGTCTCCCTACGCAGTTTGGGCTCACCTGGAGCTCAGTTTGTAGCCCAGGCTGGCCTCAAACGCCAAAGGATCCTCCTGTCTCAGCATCCCAAGATTGGGATTATAGGTGTGAGCCACCATGCCTGGCTCTGAAAATGGGTATTATTGAAATGATGGTACATATTCCCTAATTATTTTATGTAAATGGATTATATTGATTACAAGAGTGAAATTCATTTTAGTATAGTTTCTATGTTTACTTTTATTTCTACAAGTGAAAATGTTGAAAAACTGTTCATATATTTGTAAGAATATGGAATTTGCAGAAAATTTTCATCATTTTAGCATTATAACTTGCTTAAATTCTTTATTTTCTAAAATTCACATTCTGTGATCTCTCATCAAAATTATTTTTAATGATGTATAACTTTATTAATGAGGTTTTCACATTAATTTCATTGGAAGAAAAAACAGGAAACATCTAGCCTGGAAAAAGAAATGTTATTTATAAGTCATTCAATACCAGCTGTTTGTTTGTACCCAGGAAGTTATTAAACACCAGGGAATGCATGTAGATTTAGGAAAACAGTGATATCTATTTTTATTTTGCTGTGGCTATCACTGGGAGTCTCCAGTTTTAGCAGAGGTCACAAGGAAGTTAAAACTTTACAAATTGTTTAAACAATGTTATACATGTCTACATGCCCCTTGGATAGTTTGGATGTACCATTAGTGATATATTATATACTAGAATACAGCTACCTACTTTGAGAGTTTGGCTTATTAAAGAAACACATAAAGGTTAATAAGGTGACAAATAAAGGAGACAGGAGGAACTGTGAGGGACAAAGGGATTATTATGTAATAGAACATCTTCTGCCCTCTGCCCTATACTTGATAAAATGACTTCATGTTTTAGTAGTTATTAAGAAAAGGCTTTTGGATAACCTCTGCCTGAGGAGCGGCCCTTTTGGAAGTCTGAATACAATGGAATAAAGCAAAAGAATCTCAATTTATGAAGTCGGCATTCTCAATGTTTGCCTTTGCTCACAAGCATTATTTATGAAATAGTACGTATAGGTCTTGGGAATGGCTATGCTTTTTCTCTTTGTCTTAGGAACTTTTTAATTCATGGATTATACAAAGAATCATATTTTTATCCTCCCTATCTCTTCTCAGTGTCTGAAGCTCTAATTTTATGACTAAGAAAGAGGAGATTGTGGAAATAGAAAATACTGGACTTCGAGTGGCCTTAGAAGGCCTAAGGAGGGAATTTGGTCTTTGAGGAAAACATACCAGGCAAGTAACTAAAATGTGCTAAAACTTGTTGGGGAGAGTTAAGCACATGTTTTATTCTGGTACACTGGAGTTTTATAACTCCAGTGAAATGAAAAAAAAAAAAAAACCTCATTTTAATACAGTCAGAAATGCTCTTGTTGGCTGCTTTATAAAATTGCTTTTCCAATAGCTTGGAGGGCTGTATCTTTGATTAGCTGACTAGGATCCCAATTTGAAAACAGGTAGGACTGACATGAATAGATTGCCTGTTAGGGATTTAAAACTGGTGGTCAACTTAACACCAGCTGAATTAAACCAGCATGGTGCTGAGCATAGATGTTCCACCTGAGGAGAGTTGCCAGCATAAATAGAGATGTGGAGAGGAAATGCTGAACGTTGTGGGTTTCTCTCAGGGTTGCTGTTTGAGCCATTGGTTCTTCTGGATGATTTTGTCATGACTAGCTTCCCCATTGTGAGTTCGACCATTGTCATCAGAGGAGCTCTGGACCTTGTTGGTGAAAGTGGCTGTGGTTCACTTTGGGGGAGCTCTGGTCTTCACATGAAGCATCACTTCCTGGCTCCAGAGGGGAAGATGTGTGCTGTTTAATCTCCAGCAGAAGCTCGTCATGCTGGCTTTCTGGCATGTACTCAACTGTTCCTGTCATCGAAGGAGCTCAGGATCTTTGTGGTGCTGAGGGTCGCTGTGTTACCTTTCAGGACAGCCAGGTTCTCATTTTAAGCATTACTTTTCAGCTCCAGTGTAAAACCCTTAACCTAACCCAGCACAGCTCCTTCATCCCACTGGAATAGACTTTCTAGCTTCCACTGCTACATTTGGGTCTTCCCAGCACAGATCCGTAAAATAGACAGGCACAAGTCCTTCTTGTGGGCTCTAAATCACCAATTGGGCTCATCGGAGGCATTGTCATGAACTCTAGGTCTTCATCTGGACTCATGCAAGCCATTGCTTTGGGATCCAGGTCCTTGGCTGAGTATTCTTGGTCTTTAGTGTTGTGGACAGATTTCCTGCACTTTCTTGTGTTGACTCTGGGTGACCATCATAAATAATATTATAAATTCTGAGTCCTGATTATAATTGTTCTCCTCAGAATGCCTGACTACAACACTGCCCAAGGGAGGATATAATTAACTATCACATTTAAAGTTCTTTAATGGAGAGGAGAGATAACAATTAAAACCACCATTACTAATTTATACCTTTTAAATGAACAGAAGACCAAAAATAATGTTAGTGCCCATGTTCATAAAGATATGATGAAATGGGAGAGCAAATGTTGGTAAACCCTTTTAAAAATTCATCACAGGAGGCAAAAAGATTTTTTATACACTTTGATTCAGTATTGCAATAGCAAAACAATTATAATTCCTAGTCATAAGGAAAAATATATTCATTAGGCTATTTATTGGTGGTATTTATAAAAGTACAACTTTTAAAATAAATAATATCGAATGTTTAATATTATTCAATTTGTTTTTTCTTTTTGTAATTCAGTGATTTAAAATACCATTAAGATGTCAATGAAGCAATGTGGAAATGCTTAAAAAATGCAAAGTAATTTATAGTCTATAATTTTAAATATGAAAAAATCAGATAGGCTTATGAATAAAGATTAAAAGTTAACTTAAAAGAGAGAAACATAATTGAAATTATTGATATGTTTTCCATGTAAAATTCATTATTGTTAGTGTTGTTTGTGTAATATAGGATTTATAAATTATCTACACTAAATTATCTAAAATCACTCACTTTATCTCTCTATAGTCTGTGTCATTGTGAAACTACGTCCTGTTACTTTCATGATTCTATCTCTACCATGAATTAGTACACTCTGAAGTCCAGTTTACAGTCCCAAATCAAGCAAGCAAAATTTTACAAAACTACTTGTGTACTTATTAATATTTAGAAAAATACAAAATGGAGCAGAAATGTGTTCTATCAGGCTATATAGATGCAAATCCAAGGGGAAAAAAGGGGAAAATCTGTGGTCTAATGTTGAATCACTAATAAAACCTTCATGGATCTAGATCCAGTATTTATTTGTAGTCTCTGATGTTTTAAGATGCCTTAAATAGGACGCGGTGCATTACGTGGAAGGGCTTTTGTGGCCTTGACTGCACTGCTTTCTGAACATCTAACTCTAGGATGCATGTGGGACTTTCATCAACAGTCACCTCTCACAATAGAAAAACCTACGAAGGTGAACATTTGAGTTGCAGAGCAAGCCACAAGAATAGTCTGCTGGAGACAGGGCAGTTCCTGTGCCTCATTTGAGTCTTTGTCAGATCATCTGCTCAGTGATGAGGCTTCAGTTTCCTCATCTGTGAAATAAGGACATTGAACCTGTTTAAAGATGGTAAGTAGATATTTTTTGGATAGTTTGACTGAGGTATTAAATTGGAAAATTTCATATGAAAACCTGGACTTCCTGTTCTTTTGAAAAAAAAAATCAAAGAATCTGTTAAGTCTGGGCTCAAATTTTCTTACAAAAAAGAGAAGATTGGACCCCACCTGCCACCTCCCCTGGGAGGAGTTACCCTGCCACAATCTCTGCACTTTCCTCTATCTTACTTCAAGTTGCATTGATTTGCATCTCCCAGGGTCCTCCTGGCTTTCCCAGGATGTTCAGGGATGTGCCGGGAGGTACTTAATAAATGGCTCCCCAGGATGAAAAAAGCTGGGTCTGGTTTGTGTTGTCTGCCACTGCCAGTTGCTAGATAGCAACATGCATGGCAGAATTGTGTGCAGTTCATAGCACAGAATATTATACTATCACATAAGCTATATAGTATATAGACTAGTGTGGTACGGTGTGATATGGTATGATGTAGTTCATTGTAGTAGTAATTCTATCATAGAGATGTAATAGATTTAAATAAACTCAAAGCTAATAGGTGACAGTATAACATAATAAAATAATTGGGAAGTGATAAATTTTAAATATGTACTATCCTCCCTATAAAATAACTTATTTAGGTAGAAGTTTATATAAATTAATTCTTAATAGTGTCTGGTTTTAACAAAATGGCTCATAAATCTTCAAAACATTAACAGCTGGTTCTTGCGAGCTGGTTTGAGCGGATGCCAGCATTGATCTGTTTATTCTCAAAGCCATTTATGTTGTTCCTACAGTATCCTTATCCTTCAAACCTGCACCTGCACTCACCAGTCTGTCAATGCATATTTTTTTGAAGGAATGAATACATATTCAGTAATCTACATATCTACTCCTCTTTACATCACTAGGGAGCCAGATTTTTCCCCTAAGTAAAAAGAGGAATTTTTAAAAACTTGCTGTAATTTTCTTTATTCACATCCTTCTCCAGTTTGTTTTGAAGAAGGAAATATTAATTGAAAGATTAAAAAATCTTTAGATAAACTGAAATCTTTAAATAAAATTTAAGTTGTATTCTGCTTGACAATGGCTAATAGCAAAGCACTTACTATGTGAAAAGTGTTTCAAAACAATGCATATAAATGCAAAGTGATGCGGACAGATCTAATGCATAATTCTCAAAAAAGGTCCGTATCTTCCTTTCATGTTCTCTCTGTGGGCTGCCTTGCATTTTGAAAGGATGGATTTTTAGTTAATGAATTCATTATGTATTTATTTGTAATCAAGTTGGTGTTGAGCAAAGAAACTCAAGGTTTTTACTCACATATTAAAGCATGAAGATTCCTAAACTCCTTTCTCTTGAAACTATCCTGCAGCAATTTCTGTATTTTTTGTAGAATTTTATAAAATTTGCCTGAAAGAGTGCTTAAGTGACAGCTTCAAGACTGGCTGGTTGGATTACCCTTGTTCACTCAAGAAAAATGCCTTGGTTTCATTCTAAGTGGCTACTTCTGAACTAGTGGTGATATTTATGCAGTCGTTGGTACCCTAGAGGGTTTTCCTTTGAAGAACAAAGGAAGCGGATATAAATTTTAATGAGTCGTATTCTAGCTTGTGGCCCAAAGGGCATCTTACTCAGGCAGTAGAGAAGTGAAAACAAACATGTTTGTCTTTATGTAGCAGCAACCCTGAGTTTTCCTCTAGGGGAAGTCTGGCTTGCACAGTGTCTAAAAATTTCTCTTCTTTTAAATAAGACCTAAAATGAACCATTTAACATAAAAAAAGTTTCCCACCTCATCTCAAAGAACTGATAGTCTTCCAGTACTATTTAAAGAAGCATCAAAAGAATACACATTGCAGATTTTTTTGTAGCTCCTTTGCTGCTGGCAGTGGGCCAGTGGGTCAGGTTAACACGCCTGTGACAAACTTATCATCTTAACAACTAATAGTCAGATTGGATGAATCTTTATTTAAAGGGAAGATGATATTTTTAAGCAGTTTCCATTTTAAAATTAGGCAAAATATACTATACCAGTGTGTTACGCAATCAAAAAAAATTTGTAGCCTAGTGGTATAACCCGACATTTTACAAATATGTCCTTGCCCAGTTACCTCAGAGAAGTACCAGAAGTTGTTAAACTAAGCAAGACCTTATATCATCTTAGTTTTGAGGTCTGAAGTGGAAAAATGGAAGGAAACTGTGGAAGATGGACCTGATTTTTAAAAACAGATCAGGAATCAGAAATCTAGTTCCCATCTCTTTTTGTTGTGATCGTTAAACCTTAAGTTTTGAAGGTAACTTTTGTGTTGGGTTTCCTGATCTTATGATGAGTGCTCCATAAATATTCACGATATGAGGGCAATCTGGCAGGAACATCTGTCGCTTCATTGATTGCCAACACTGACTGGATGCTATTACTCATCTTCATCTTTCTATTTTTCCTTTTGGGTCATCTTGGAAATCTTGTACAAAGGGGAGTTTCTCAGAGAGACTTTGGTTCTTAGAGCAACCAGTCTTTCCAACCTGCCAGGATGAGGGAGATTGCTGGAGCCTTTAGTGCTAAATCCTGAAAAGTCCCAGTTATGCATGGTGAACTGGTCACTGTGATAGATTGCTAGTTCCTTTACCGTACATCTAGGCAGTTCTTGGTTACCGATGGCTAAATACTAATGATAATAATCGATATTCAGAATGATTGTAAATGTATGAAAGCTATTCTCAAAAAACAACACAGGGCTTTTTTTTTTTTTTTTTTTTTTTTAATTATCGATTCCAAGGATTGAACTCACGACCGCCTGCTTGCAAGGCAGGTGCTTATGCTCCTGAGCTAAATCCCCAGCCCCAACACAGGGCTTTGATAACTTTAGGAAGATATCTCAGCAACCTATGAAACTATACCCTGCAAGTACTTGACATTAAAAAAAAAAGTGCTTAGATTACCTTTCACTGAAAAATATTTGAAGCAACATTAGACAAATGTCATTAATAATACACACATTACATGTTAAATGATTAAATTCCTTGAAAGAGGATCTTTATACAACATGAACCATTTAAATATTCTCTCCAAAAATAAGAATAAGCAAGTATGCAAAAGCCAGGGGAGACACATGATTCTGCTCTTTTAGATATCAACCCAAAGAGATTTATTTTGATGAGTGAATGTTATTTTCAGAGACAGACATAATGCAATAATCCCATAATGATAAATTTCTTTTAAGAGTGTTTCCAGATTTCCAGTGGATCTGAGGCAGCTGGTGAAATAAACTGAAATGACTGACTACAGATATCTTACCGGATTTGCTTCATGGAAGAGGAGCAATGCTGGGGTTGTTTCTTGATATCAGAAACTGCAAAAGCATTTGGCATCAATGTGATCCAGATGTAGGTGAAGGCGATCAACTGGACAGACAAGACCATCTCTCCCAGATGCAAGGAATGCAGGTGGATGCAAATGATACTGCTCTGCTTCCTTCTTCATGTGTCTTTTTAAAAATAAATGTTGTGCCAGGAAAGGTATTAAGAAGAAAAAGACACGACTTGCAATGTTGTCTTTTGTTTCAGTAGATGAAATAGATTCACATCACTCACTGGCACGTGTCTGTCTTCAGCAGTTTAAGGAGAAGAAGGTAGAGTTTTTCATTTTCAATTTGCATCCTTTAGTCCCTCTTCCCAGGGAAAGTTCTTAGCTTGATGCTTGATCCCCTACTCAATAAACTCTCAGCTGCAGTCTTTGGCAGAAAAAGAAGTGAGGCTAGTCATTAATCCTCTTAATCCAATGCAATATCATTTGAGTTTATTTAATGCCTGTGTAAAATAATATGCTTAATGAGAAAAAGATGATTAATTTAATCTTAATTATACATTTGAAGGTTTTTTCTTTATCGTATGGTTCCTTTTAATCTAAAAAAAGGACTCTTTCTGCCCCCAAAAGCATACAGAGTGCCACAGCACAAATTAAATTAATCAGGCAAATAATGACATTTTAAGATTATTCTATTAATAACAAAAGTGGTTCAACTTCAAGATTCAATGTAGGAGGTAACTTGAAAGATAAACTTAGTGCTGGGTAGTATACAGAGAACGTACCATTACTGCTGCATTAAATCATAGCTACACACTCTTCTAGAGCAACTTTGGCTACACAGAAGAGAAATGTCCGTTGGAAATGGTCCCTCTCTGTATGTAAAGTACTAGTGAATGGACATGTCGATGAAATGAAATCTCCTCAACTGGAATATTAGAGCAGGGCAGTAACAAGTGATCTGTTTACTAGGACTTAGGAAGAATATTCTTTTCTTTCCAGAAATATAGTGGTGAAAGAAATTCTTATATTTCCCCAAATTCATTTGTGTGCTTGACAGCTTGTACCCTGTCAATTAGGTTATACCTTTTCAGCTCATTATCAAAACCTTTTCCTGTGTTTCTTAGCCTGCCTTTCCTCATAAGTGTCCACCATTACATATATGCAAAAGAATGCATTAAGTCCTTGCTTCCCTTTATGCTTCTATGCTGCTTTATTATGTTGATACATATGTATCTATAATACACAAATGTTTTGTATGCTTTAAAAATTACACAGATGGTGTCACACTGCATTTTTACTTCTGAAACCTACTTTCAGGTTGTGATTGTAGCTCTAAATAGTTCATTTTGTTATAGGCAGCAAGTTAGCTACAAATACTATAGGCAGTGAGACAGGGCCAGGTCCTTGAAGGAGTCAGTGTAGAAGCCCAGATGCCTTGCAACTGCTGGGGAGACACACACCTCCTGCTGTGGGCCGGGCCTCAAGACAAAAGGTCAAACAAATACATCCACATCCTAAAGACTGATATTCTGATTAGTTCTCTGTCACCCTGAGGAAGCCAGGAGTCACCATCCCAACGCCCTAGGGGAGAGTCACTGCTTTTCTGTGTGATTCACTTCCCCATTTGTCCCCAATTTAATCAATTTTACCTGAACAGTTAATCTTATTGGTTTAACATAGTTCTGTCCCACCTTATGCCCATCTGCCTTGTGAGTTCCAGCCCCCCCCCCAACCTTGAACCTATCCCACCCTATGATTTTACTCTATAAAAGTCTCTAGAAAAGGCAGAGTCCCTGGCAACCCACTCTGGACCCCTTCTGTCTCTGAAAGAAGCATTCTTTCTCTCAATTAATATGTTCTGTTCTTAACCTCTATTGTTCCTAAAATTCATTCTTGGATTTTCGAGAACATGAACTCATACTAGACATAATAAGTCTAGAGTTTAATTCCCCTGTATCAATTTTAACTACTCTATGGTATTTCAGTGTGGATATATAACAATTTATTTATTATGTTGACATTGTTTCTTATCACAATCCTGCAGTAAATTATAAATACTTTCTTGTGCACATGTGTAAGAGTGTTTTTTGTTTTGTTTTGTTTTCCTTTGAGACAGAATCTCACTATGAAGTCCAGGCTTGCCTTGAACTCTTTATCCCCTAGCTGGCCTCAGGCTTCTGGAGATCCTGTTGTTAACCTCTCCAGTGCTGGGAATACAGATCTGTGTGCACGTGTGAAGTTGTTTTAGGATAGATACCTAGAACAAAAATATTGCTAGGTTGGACAAATTTCACATACACAAATTTATTAGACTACCGTAATGCTCATTGAAATAGCTACATCAGTTTATTAACCCACTAGCAGTAAAAGGGAATATTTTATAAAATCTTTTTAAAAACATCTATTGGGTTAGGCTTTTAAATGTTATCTAATCCAATAAATATTGTAGCTTTAGTGTTAATTCTACAATGATTAGAAATTAAATGACATTTTCCTCCATGTATTTCTCAGCCAGTAAACTTCTTTCTTGCTTGAAAAGTCAATGCAGGAAATATAAGAAAATCTGCTGATCGTGACTACACTGTGGTTGCATTGTCATCAAATTGATTTCAGTACCTTGCATCTCAGAGCTCAGGGGAGTCCCGGGGTTTGGCTTCTCCTTCCTGGTGTATTCCCCGGATCTGTTCTTTTCATTTTAGATCCCAATGTCTAACACCGTTTCCCAAAGTAGTTCTTGGCTGCGCTGAGTATGTTTTGGGCAAAGTGTTCTGCACTAAATGAACACTGTATATTTTATTACTCTGCCAGACACTCACAGTTCTTATTACATGACACAGCGAAAGTATTCTTACCTTTTAGTGATGTGGAAAATGTTCGTTCCATTTTCTGTGCTCTCTTTCTTGATCTTTGGAATCCACTGTCATATTTGGTTTTGCATAATTTCTTGAGATATTCGCTTCGCCCGGCCTCCACGGCACCTCCTCCCCTGTCCCCGTTCCTCTTCTCTCTCTGGTCATTTTCCTTCAGTTTTTTTTTGGTCTGATTTTCTGCCTTCTGTCAAGTCTCCTAACATTGGAGTGGGCTCTAAGCTCAGCCTTTGGTACCTATTTTTGCCTATCAACTCATTCCTTTCGTGATCTCATCCAGTCCCGGGATTTAAAAACCACATGTTAAGTTTTAGTTAGGGACGATAAATTTCAATACATATTGCATCATCTGATGACTACAGTTAATAACATTATGTATTTCAAAAGTGCTAGAAGAGTAGATTGTAAATTATTCTTACTCCAAAAATCCTAATAGACAGAGATGATAGATATATTAATTAGGCTGATGGAATCATTCCTCTTTCTCTCCCAGAAATTGTATCCTACTATTCTGTTTCTTTTATTCCAGCAATTCATTCTATTTTAGGTGTACTGGTCCCTTTGTTATTCTTCAAACATACCAAACACACTCTTACCTCAGGACTTTTGGACTAGTTGTCTAGCTTGCTTCATATACTATTTGTCCATCTATACGTATCTTTACGATGGATTCCTTTAACAAAATTTAATCTTTGCTCAGATATCATTTATTCAATGAAGCACACAATGACTGCTCTGCATGTTTGGTTCTTTGTTTCTCTAATTTGTTTGTCTTTAAATTTCTCTTTTAAAAATTACAAAAGTTGCTCCAGAATACTTTATTTGGCAAATTCTGATTTATAAGTAACTCTGTACTTTAAATATTTTATTTGTCAAAATTCTATGACCTACTATCATACCACTGACTCTGATAACTAGTAAACCTTCATGTCCTTAGTGAAATATTGATAGCTGATAAAAATAAGGACTCCACGAAGAAAAGACTCTTTCAAACAACAGTTGAACGCTTCAAGTAGAATCTGTCTGCTGAAATTGGTGGAATTTTTGAGGACACTTTTTTTTCCAGAAACACCTAGCAGATATTATGCTTCTTCATCTTCATTTAAATCATGTTAATATTCCCTGTGTGTCTCCTTCTGCATTTTAAGGATGAATCAATGATAAGAATCCACTAAATAATCTTTTCTATATGAATTTCATATCAGTATCAATATTTTCACATCATTATGTATATCAGCAAAATTATAAGAAGTTTATTTTTGCTGGGAACATTAAGTGGGAAATGGCCTGCATAAATAAGGCAAAGGCTTAACCAATGGCCCGCAGAAGGTCTTAGGGTTTCAGTTCAATTACAGTAAAGCATCTGTCTGTGGATGCTGTGCGGCCTTCTTAACCCCGCCCCTTCAGTGCTTTCCTTTGCAAGCCCAGTAAGCTTCTTAAGAAAAAAAAAGGGGGGGGTGTGTGGGGGAGGGGAGCCACATCTGTCAGAATAGGAAAGTGGTAACAAACAGGAAACAAAGTGAATGGTAGAGTCCCTGGGGAATGTTTTGATAGTTTAAGCTCTCCCTTTGTCAATTGCTTCCTGTTTATACTTCTTCCCCGCTGGTGAGCTGGTGTTGTCAGCCAGTTTCTTTGAAAGGAAACAAAGTGAACACTTGGAAAGCATAGCTATAGCCCTAATATTCATCCTGGGATATGAGTTATTATTTTGCCCACAAATGAAAAATAAAAGAAGTTATGGTCTTAGACTGCATCAACAACTTCTAACAAAAACAAATTCCAAGCACCCAGACATTTCCCAGGATGCCTGCAGAATGTCGGTACGCAGGATACATTGATTTGGAAATTGTTGAGCCACAGATGTTGACAAAAAGGACCTTCTAAGATTACTTAGATTACCTGTTTCTTTCTCTTTTTATAAACAGTCCTTCCTTGGTATAGAGGATAAATTCTAGGACACTGAAGATAGCATAATTCAATCGTTCGCAATTTCCTTATTTAAAATGATATATTATTTTTATACAAACTGCACACATGCTCACCTACACTTTAAATCATAAATCATCTCTATAATGCCGAATACAATGTAAATTCTGTGTAGTTTTTTTGTTATTATTTAGAACTGTCATTAAAATGAAAACGTCTGCATGTGCTTTACGTGTAAAAATGTAAAAAATGTTACATTAAAGAAGTTGTACATGTGTGTTCCTTGTAAAACATATTTGGTTTTTACTTCAGAAATTTATTTTCTTTGGTATATTCAATCATAGTGTAACTGACCACGGTGAGAGAAGTAGGGAGAATTGTGCTGCTAGTTACCTAAGCAGCTTTGCTTTCGCACAGCAGTGCTCTTTCTGTTTCCGAGTATTCCAGAATCTCCACTAGAAAAATATTTTCCCAAGCTTTTAAATTCCCCCCTCATGTCATTCATGAGCTGCAGAATCAACTGTCTCAGGAGTGAGGACACCAGTGAGCGCCTAGCACTAGAGCAGGGCAATCCTGAGTATTAAGCACAATGTGACCACTAGATAGCAGCATAGG